CTGGGAGGGACTGAGCACCAATACCACAGTTCCTGAATTACACTCTAAAGAGAAGAGCCTTTCTCCAGTACATGATGGCAGTGGATGAGCTGTTTTAGCCCAAGTGACACAATCTCCAACCGTGCAACTTGACAATATAATAAGCCTGCGGGGATGTCGGGAAGCATTGAGCCACACCTCCTTTGCCACAGGTTTCTGTCCCAAATAACGAATCCTAGAAGAATTTACAGGGCAAGATTCCAGCACTGGTGAGCGGAGGACCCACACGGCCTCTCTCATCCCGGTCCTCAACACTCTCTCTTGACCAGAGCTGTCAGCTCTGGAAAGGATTTCATCTGTTCCTACGGAGAAAACAACCTAACCTGCCCAGCTGCCTAGATCCCCTGCTGGCCAGGACCTTGATTTTGAATGTTACCCTTCAAAGGTTGCTTGTGCTCAGGTTAGCAACAAAAGCAAATAGTTACAACTTCCCCGGCCCAGCGCCTCATTTTCCTTAGGAAACATTTTAATCAGAAATACAATGCAGTAAATTACATCTTCTTTCAGCAGTTTAGTTTTCAGCGTTGTTTTTCAAACCAACTCTTGGGCTTGAGGTTCATGTTTTTGCCTGAGGTGTTGAATGAATATTGGAAATTTGACACTGAAGACAAAAGGCAGCAAATAAGAAAAGAGGAGAAAGGAACCAAAAGTTTATTGAAGGCTAGGGATAATTTGACTATGCCATGAAAATAGCAAATACAGGAGGAATTAGACCTTTTGCATCAGAATGGTCTAACAAGCAGCTTGTTAGTTAAATAAGGCTCCGGGTAAAGTGTATTCTGACTTGCATTTCCCAGGATGCCTGCTCTTCAGACCGAGCTCCAGACACCTAGGGGATGCGGCATTTAGTTAAAGGGAGAAGCGGTTCCTTCGGTTCCTTCGGGCTTGCCGCTTTAGCCTAGTGACAGTGAGTTAGACAGCTTGGCAGCAGCCTGTATTCTCCACAGAAAGAGAAAACAAACACTTGGGGAGGGGTGATCTTCCCCTTACGTGTTCCTAAAGTCACATTGGTCTTGTCCATCTAACTTCAAGCTCATCTTGCTCTAATCCAGATCAGCAGGGAGAGGTTCTTGTTCTGAAAGATTCAAGGAAGGAAAGCATCCCAGCCACGTCTGTGAATCAAAGAAGGAGAGTGAGCACCAAGTACACGAACGCACACACAATCCACACAAAAGACCGTCATGCTGGGCGCGTACCTGCTGTACACATTTGCAGAGCCAGCTTTTTGACAGTCGCCTCTGTTACCTGATTTGAAAGACTCAGTTCCATATATTTAATTTAAAAGTTTCAGAAAAGGACAGGCCCTTGAAGGACTAGGATTCACATTGACAGTAGTTTTGATGTGGCAAAAATTTAAGAATTCAAGATGTTTCCCCAAGACGGGCCAGGGACAGGCCAAGTACAAATACTTCCTTTAGGTGGTGATTTGAAGACACCAGAGACTCTCTGGGAGAGGAAACAGGGAGACCCCACAATCGGAATGATGAAGAGCACAGAAAGTAAGGTTGTGGTCCCACCAAAGCCAGCCCCCCCCCCCATACCCAGCTCACTGCTTCAACAAGGGCCTAACCTAGGAAAAAGATGAATTCTATAGGTCGCCTGGGATAGGAGAAGCATAATCCCAACCGATGATGTAAATGGGGGGGAGAGTACATTTCAGTGGCTGTGTGACTCAGGAAAAATAAAGTAGGTACAAGGCTACCATCTACAATTATGAATAATTGAGTTTAGAAGCTAGGAGTGCACAAAACAGCAGTTGAGCTAAACAAGGTGGCACAATACATCCTATTTGCAAGAGTATGTTTGAAGGCTCCCTAAGGGCCATCTGGAGCAGGAGTAGCCTGGGGAAACAAGCAGACTCAAGAGCTTTCTTTTGAAATGGAGCATTTGCCTAGGAAGATGTTTTCCCTAGATTTCTGCATGCGGTGCCAATCAAGATTACTGCAAATTAAAACTACTTTAATACCGTCCCGAAATTTAGACAACTTCCACTGATGCAGGATGACTGATGTTGGTCGAAGATTACAGTAAGTACTAGTAATCCAGGAATGAAAGGAGCTAAGAGTTATTCTTGTAAAAAATGGATGACATGGAGTGTGTAAATAATGGGAGCAAATGCAGCAGGAAATCTTAGAACATTTAAAGTCTAATACATTACAAAGAGAGTTCAATGCTGATAAATGTAGAATAATAAGTTTTATGGGGCTTTATCATATGCTATAAGTTGGTGTGCATCATAAAATATGAGAAATAAAAAAAATAGGGTAGTTGGAAGACAAGTTTGCACGTTATTTATGAATGATGAAGAGTGAAATGAATGAGAAGAAGAACAGGTAGACAGTGTCTTGAATAATAATGACTTTGATGAGTCGTTATCACACAAATCCATGTGCTTCATAAAATAGGAGGAATATTAAAGAGCAGAAGACTCAAAAGACAAGACTACTCAGAATGAGGCACAGAATGGAGGAAGAGAGGAATCCAAGAGAAATGCACAGAATAATGATGACTTTTATGAGACTTTCACTCACCAGCCTGGATCCTTCATAAATATAAACTGTATAGAAAATAAAAGAGCAGCAAAGAAAAGAGACACGTCTGTGTCTGTCATAAAATATGAGCAAATAATGCCAACTAGGCTTGACAAAATAAAAACAAAAATAATTGAGCCTAGAACAGCTGTGGGAAGACACAATGTCTGGATTAATATGAACAAATAAAATGAGTACGCGTAGAATTGTCTTGCCAAAAGGGAATCAGCGACCACCTAGGTAGGCTTTATTGTTGCAAAGGCCACCTTGTTAACTGGTAGAGCCTTGGCAAGTTTGGAATTACCCCCTACCCCCGCAAAAAGACATCAGCACTTAGGGCTCAGGAAGACATGTTTAACTGATTTTCGAGTATCTCTTCTCAGCCTCTCTAGCTCCAATCCCTATATAGTTTGCAGGAGATTTTCTCAGCTTGTTTCTACTTAGTCTCTACCCTCCTTGTCAAATGTTCTATAAAGACCTTTCAAAGGTTACTGTATAAAGCTACATGTTTTTGTTACATTGGACTTAGAACCTGGGACCAGATCTATCAGGATTAGTTCAAAATCCAGAATTCAATGACTTTCACATAAATGTCTTCTCGATTAGAACAAATGGTATTTCAAAATCTCAAACTGTCAAAATCTCCCCCCAAAAGACTAGGAGAATCAGACAAGGCAAAGCAAGTGCCAATATGCCATTTACATACCATTCAGAGCCATGATTTACAGAATTCATAAAATGCACAGCTCACTGTCTTATGTCTTATGTCTAAAAGAAAGCTACTGTCTTATGTCAGAACTAGGAATGTTGGTCTGGGAGCTCAACACACAAAAACACCAATAGCAACAGTTAATGCGAGCTTACTTTTGTGTAGTACTTAATGGCTTATAGTTTGTTTGGGGGGGAAGACCTTAGGTAATGCAGGGTAAATCCTATTAGCATAACTTATATCCAATTCATCTGATTGTGATAGAATTTAGTAGTGAAGTTTATTGGCTATAATATATAAAACAAACTTTGGATGGTAACTGTCTTGATTTTCAGAGATGTTTTTCTCTCCCTCAAATGATCTTTGTGGCCATGAGCCTTGAGATACAATGTCTCAGCTTGCTAATTCTGTTCAAAGAAGGTATAATGCCAGGGTGGAATTATTATGGTTACTTTGGAAAGTCATGTTTGCCCAAATAACATGGCCCTCTTTAATCCAAACTTGAGATTCCCTGGATTGACTGAATCCCACGTGGTGAAAAAATAACATTAAATCCCTAGGAATAAAATCACTGACCTTGCTCAACGTTCCTCAACACTACCAACTCCAGCTATAAAATGCACATTCTAGAGCTCAGGGCTACCAAAGCTAGTATTTGAATCCCTCTTCCCCCGCCCCCACCCCCGCCCCCTTGCCACCCTCAATAATGGCAGACTAGCAAAGTTCTTTGCTTGGAATTCGCTCCTGGGCCCTCTTCTTAACTGTCAAGCTCCTGAAATTTGTTACAACTTGACCAGGCTAGAAAACCTACACATTTTACTGGATTATATCTGGGAGCTAGCTCTGTTTAGGGGCTAATTTAATGAAACTCCTTTTTTTTTTTTTTTTTTTTTTTTTTTTTTTTTTTTAGGCAAGGGTGAAACTCCTTTCTTTAAAGGGAAAATCTCCTGAACTATTTTATTTCAATCAGGCAAGAGAAATGGAATGCTGTAGCCAAGGACCATGTCTCTTTTACAGACTAACTCTTAAAATTTACTCAACTAAGTCTGCTTTATTAAAAAATTGTTTTTCCTGAAAAGGCAATTTGTCAATATGTATCAAGAGCCTTAAAAATGTTCACACCTACATATGTCAATGCATAAAAAATGCACACAACAAAATGATATTGCTAATTACCTCTGAGGAGAAGACTAAGACCTGGGGGGGGGATGGTGAGCAGAGACTTGAGTCATATGTACAATAGATTCACGTATTAATTAATGTAATCAATTTTATTTTTAATAAGAGAAAAATATTCTTCCACAACTGGGACTATCTCCCAAGAAAATAATAAGAGATTCGATGCAGGAAAAGTTAAGAAACTACTAAATGTCCTAAAATAAAGGATGGATTAAACAAGTTAAAGAATATGTTGTTTTAAGGTTATATTGTATAATAACAAATGATATATTAAGGAATTTCTGATTATATTGGACAATGTTAACAATACACTGTTAACTTAAAAATATCAGGATACAAATCTATACTGAGTATAATCCCAATTTTGATGGGTAAAAAAGATATACATGCCATTCTCAAAATGTTATTAGTAGTTACTACTGGTTGGTGAAATTACTATTTTCTTTGTTCTACTTGACTGTGTTTTCCAAAGTTTCTCCATCTTGGCTTTTAGAATCTAGTTGTAACATGCTTTTATATTTGCCTTTGATCTTGTGTTGCAGGCGTGCTTGTGTGATTCGAGGCCAAGTGGTGGCTGTAGATGGAACCCCTCTAGTAGGGGTGAATGTTAGTTTCTTGCATCACAGTGATTATGGGTTTACCATCAGCCGGCAAGATGGAAGGTACGTCAGTATTGCTTCTAATCGTTGTGGGGGCCTAATACTGACTTCTAGCTGTGAATCAAACCAGGGCTCAGCTGATGCAGTGTTTATAAACCCATCTTCCTTCGAGCTGTATTTGGGAAAGTCATTGGTGATATTTATTTCCTCTATTCCCCAACTAAATCAAACCATATTTCCCTTCTAACCATGCACTATCACTCAAGCCTTCTTGAGACCTTGGCCATGTGGAAAGTTTTCTACCCTTCATCCAATTCCATTAATCAATCCAGCTTCAAAATTCAGTGAGATGATGCAGGTGATAAAGAGGGAGCCGTGGAACACTTAGCCTATTCTCCCATGGCAGCCTCAAAATATTTCAGAAACGAAGATGTCCAGGGGCACCTGGGTGGCTCAGTCAGTTAAGCATCTGACTTTCACTCAGGTCATGATCTCATGGTTTGTGAGTTCGAGTCCCACATCGGGTGAGCTCAAGCCCTGCTTCAGGTGAGCTTGAGCCCCACTTCGGGTGAGCCCCGCTTTTCTCTCTTGCTCTTTCTCTCTCTCTCTCTCTCTCTCTCTCTCTGTCCCTTGCTCACTTGCACTCTCTCTCAAAAATAAAATAAGAGTTTAAAAAAAAAAAAGAAATGAAGATGTCCAAAAGGTTTCTTCCAAAAGTACAGAATTCATCCTCATTAAGATATAATGGTGTCTATATAAGTATAGTGATTTTACTTCAACATCAACCACCAAGCTACTCTAAGGGCTTCTCAGGTTCTCTGAGACCTGGGAAGCAAGACCACTAAGTAAAATCTTTTCATCCCAGAAAAGGATTTGCTCACAAAAGCATTTTTGTTTATCGTTTAGATAGACATTTGTTCAGACAGTATTGTTCAGAATAGGCCCATGTGTCCAGCTTAAAGGTACCTATTTAGGACTCACAGGAACATCATAATAATGGCCTTGAGGTGCCCTAGTCTCCAGATGGCTGCCCTTAAAATAACTGCTCACAACAAGCTGCTTTGGTAGTCACATAAAGAGATGTTGGCTGGAGCTTTATCACAGTGTGAGAATCTGATTTCAAGAACCAACAATCAAACCTTAGTCCTAACCACTTCAGAATTGTTAATTGTTCAACCTGGGCTATGCTGGATTTATTTTTTCAACTGCTTATCAAGAAAATGCTTATAAAGATTGGTTAAAGAAGATACGGAAGAGTTTTAACATAATTAAGAAAAACAAACTGTTTTTAAGACTTGAGTAAATCATATAAATGATTCACATGTAAATTAAGTTGCTAATTATTAACTAGCCATCTATTTATTAGAACAAGCTCAGCAAAACTACTCTGGGTACAGATAGACTGAATACACACACACACACACACACACACCCATTGCTTATATACATATAAGCTATAAAAAGTACATTTCCTTTCAAATGATCCATAATTGGAGCTCTCTACTAATTCAAGTGGACCTTTCTCCCAATTGAATTAAATGATGAAATTTTGGTAGTTCATTCACCAGCAACTGGTACACAAAAGTGGCCTCTCCCTTGCCAACATGTTCAGCCATGTGCCAGAAATTGAGAAATGGATTATTTCTTTAAATAGAATGTGTCCCCAGAGACATTTGAGTTCTCTTGGAGAACTCGTGGGCCCTTAGTTTTTTTTAGCATGTGTATAAAGGTTTCAGTGAATTATTTGATATTTACAAAAGAGCTTAAGAGAAACAATGTCTAAAAAATCTAAAAATTTCTGTTTCCAGTTTACTGAAAACATTAAAGAGGAACAATTTTTGTTGTTATTTTTGTGGATTTTGTTTTAAGTAAAATGCCAAGACCCTGGTCTGCTGAGCTCTCTGTGAGAACTAGGTTTATGTAGATGACAGATACAGTCAGAGTCCCCTCTGGCAATAACTCTCCCCTCAGGCTCTCAAAGGGTGTAACTGTTCAAAATCTGTGCCCCAAATGCCAAGCAGACTGTCCCACTGTCATCTCTTAGACATAAAGTGACAGTGTGATGGGCGTTTCCATTTATATGTCTCTGCTTGTTGCTATCTCAGACTGAGTAAGTACATTTTAAAAGCAGAGTCTCATAAGGAAACTATACCTGAGAGCAAAAGGATTATAGAAAGGCTGAGATTAGCATTTAAATACCTAGTAGTCAGAGTGTGATAGGTAAGAAGCTGTAAGCGCCCTCTGTCTCCAGATCTCAGTCCAACCTGCCTGCCACTTTGCCTATAGTTCCCACCAATGGTATCAGAGCTTTGGGTTAAGCTGTTGACTCTAAAAGTCCCTGTTAAATGCAAATATGTTATGTGGGATGTAGAACTAATTACCCCCATTATCATCCATTTGCACAAGTTAATTGACAACTTTCCCTAGAGAACCAGGAAAACTCTAGGTCAAGGGACCAAAGTGATGTATAAAAAGCAGAAGGAAGGTTGGGAGTGGAAGACAGAGCCCTCTCAAAGTAAGAAGAGATTAGACATGCAGATTGGGAGAGGCCAAAGTAGCAGAATAGAAGAAAAAGGCAATTCTAAAGGAAAAATTAATATGAATGAGTATCTACTATGTGCCAGGCATTTTCATAAATGTTGATCTATTTCATCCTCACAACAACTTTATGAGAGAGGAGGCATTATTATCCTCCCCAGTTGACAGATGAGAAAACTTATCCAAATTAGCACAGCTAACAATGGTCAAGCCCAAACTTTGAGCTCAAGTAATCTGGCTCTTATCTTCTATGATTAGCCACCTTCAACCTAGATTATGTAATAGGTGCTCAGTAAGGTTTTGAAAGAGAATGAACGTTTCCTTTATAGTTCAGCTAGTGACAAGCAAAATAGGTAAGCACTGAACTTCTTAGAAGATTCTTGAGACACATTAAAGGTCTCAAGAACTTTATTTGGACAACTTTGGAAAATGAACAGAGAGTTCCCTCTGATTCCCTTGAAGGCAAGAGTTTGTAGATTTATGGATACCATAAGGCAGAGATAAGCATTTCACATAGCCTTCCAAAGTCTTCCATCTGTGCTTAGGACTGGCCTGACTTATTAGAGATTGAGAAGTCTCCAAACAAATACATTTTCTCCCTTGGGTCTTTTATACTGTCATATGACTTGATAACCTGTTCTTTTTTTTAATGTTTATTTATTTTGAGAGAGCACTTGAAGGGGAGGGTCACAGAGAGAGAGGGAGAGGGAGAGGGAGAATCCCAAGCAGGTTCCATGCTGTCAGCACAGAGCCTGACGTGGGGCTCCATCTCACGAACCGTGAGATCGTGACCTGAGCCAAAATCAAGGGTCAGATGCTTAACCAACTGAGCCACCCAGGCACCCCTGGATGACTTGTTTTTAATGACCCATGCCAGTGGAGATCATTTGTGATAGGGGAAATCTCAAAGAATTAATTATTCAGGGAACGTGCTGTTTGGCATTGGAATGATTTAGATGGAATTTTGGCCACAGATCCACCTTCCACTTCCATGGCAGTTAATGAGCCAATCAGACAGTGTTTACTGTATATGCCAGCTAGGTGGTAAGAAGAAAAATCAGTCTGGGTTCTCCAGAGAAAAAGAACCTGTGTGGGTGTGTGTGTGTGTGTGTGTGTGTGTGTGTACATATATACATATAAATGTATACATCAGAGAGAGAGATTTCAAGGAATTGGCTTATGTGATTGTGGGCATAGGCAAGTTCAAACCTGTAGGGTAGGCTGGTAGGCTGAAATCTCTTGGGAAGGAGTTGACGCTATCTCTGCAGTCTTGAAACAACTCCTTCTTCCTCAGAGAAACTTCAGTTTTGCTCTAAACGTCTTTCAACTAATTGGAGGAGGCCCTCCCATATTATCAAGGGTAATATCTTTTACATAATGTCAACTAAGTGTAGATATTAACCACATCTACAAAGTACCTCAACAGCAACACCTAGATTAGTGTCTGATTAGGTGGGTACTGTTGCCCAACTTGACGTATAAAACTAAACCATCACAGGAAGCCTAGGGGGAGTCCCCAGAAGAACTTAAAAATCAGCATCTGCTAGTGCACCTGGGTGGCTCAGTTGGTTAAGCTTCCGACTTCGGCTAAGGTCATGACCTCGTGGTTCGTGAGATCAAGCCGTGCATCTGGCTCTCTGCTGTCAGCACAGAGCCCACTTCATATCCTCTGACCGCACCCCACCCCCCGTCCCTTCCCGCCCTCTCAAAAGTAAATAAATAAACTTTAAGAAAAATCAGTATCCACATATGGGAATAATCAAAAGCTGGCCTAGAGTTCATTTGAACTGGAAGAGAAAACATCTGTAAATGTAATAAGGCAATGGATCTGATTTGAGAAGAAAGTTAACATTTGTTGAGTCTCTGCTGTGTGCTTGACCCTTAAGTCTTTACCTTATTCACTTGTTTACAGTAGTAGCTGGGTGATAGATCATATCAGCCCCATTTTACTAATGAGGAAAGATAAATCCATGGAGGTTAAATAACTAGTCCATACACACAAAGTTAACATGGCAGAGCTGGGATTCAGACCCAGGTGTGTATGAAGCCAAAACCTCATTATTTCTACAAAACAAGAAACCTGCCCTGTCTGCTTAATCTTTCTAGAAGTAGAGAATAATTCCCAGGTACACATGTTTTTGTTTGGATGTTTATTTGTGTGTGTGTGTGTGTTTGCGTTTGTTTTTGTTTTCAAATAAATAAGCACTTTAGTTTTAAAGATGCAAGAGCCAAGGTTTGGGTAAAGCAAAGTTGCCCAAGGACATGGAGGTAAATCAACATAGAATGTGAACTAGAGGAAAGGTCTCTTGACCAGTAGTGTGGGATTTTCCCCACTGTACTTGCCTTAAACTGCTTCTGTATTATCATGAATTCAGCCTCTCTGTCTTAAATCATAAGCCATTTGGGTTTTCCTTTTTTAGTTCAAACCTAGATTATTTTCTATAGCTATTGTAGTTCTTCAAATCCTCGTTTTGGAAACTGCCTCAGTATTACAGCTACTCGACTGAAATAGTAACAATACAAAAGACAGTATTAGCCACCCTTTGTTACTGTCCATTTATCTTTATCTGGAAGATTTCTGCAACAAGACATGATTCGCAGTGCTATAATAAATATAATAAATGTCATATGAAGGGAGTAGTAAGCTATCCATAATTAAGTCTGAGTCCCTATCAGAGCATTCTATCATTGAAAAAATGTTTTACAGAAAGATCTTTTTTAATGCAGGGAATCGCTTACATCTCTCTACTGTGGTTTTAAGTTGCTTTGAATATTAAGGAGCAACTCATTGCCCTTTATCCATTTTTATGATATAATGGTAATAATTTATCATTAGCTTACTTTTACAGAGTATTTTATGCTTTTCAAATGCTTCCAAGTACATTATCTCAAAGATATCATTATACTTACAAGAGAAGTAAGGTAGGATCATCTAGTGCAGAATGAACTGGAATCTGAGTCTGTTATGCTCCAATGCAAGAGTAATGTCAGATACCACATCAAGTGATGGACAGAATTGGCTTACAGGAGAGGTAGTCTTGCTTTGTCAGAGATATGGAAGGTGTTGTCAGCGGAGATGGATAGGGTCCATTACAGGCTGTCTTGCAAAAGGAAACCAAGAGGCATTCTAGACAGCACCAGAAATCCTAAATGTAGAGTTCTAGTAGAATCAGGAGCCGAAGTGGGTAGCCAGATGTGGAGGGTTCAGGCATGGTATTGTTCAAGCAAATTTTACTGAACAAGTTTCGTAAATGCCATCTCAAAAGACACCACCAGATTTCTGACACTGTTTGTGACTCTGAACAAGGTCGTTAACCTTTTGGCTCTTTACTTTTCCTGAGTTACACTTTAGGATTTTTTTTCTTGAGGATGAATAATGCATTATATTAAAGATGCTGCTGGATGTTAAATGGTCATCTTTCTGTTATCTCTAGCACAGAGGGGGAGCAGTGATGTAAGACACGGCTTTGCAGAAATCCATGCAGTGATTTTGTCTCAGGTAGTATTAAAATTGGTTTACAAATTTGGGGTGAATATCAACTGGTGATACGGAGTTTTTTCTCAGAAATCTCCTAGATAGTGAAAAGAAGCCATCCATACATTTAGGTAGAGGGAATTTATAAAATAGAAATACGAATGGATGTAGTTGAGTCCCAAAGGAAGGAAAGTGCACTAAAATTACTTATTATTTTAACTTGAATTTTATTTTGGTTGTTCATTTGATTGAAACTGTCATATATTTTTCGTTCTCAGCTTTGACCTCGTAGCCGTTGGAGGTATTTCTGTCATCTTAATCTTTGACCGCTCACCTTTCCTGTCTGAGAAGAGGACACTCTGGCTGCCTTGGAATCAGTTTATTGTGGTAGAGAAAGTTATCATGCAGAGAGTTGTATCAGACCCACCATCCTGCGACATCTCCAACTTTATTAGCCCAAACCCTATTGTGCTTCCGTCACCACTCACATCATTTGGAGGGTCCTGTCCAGAGAGGGGAACTATTGTTCCTGAGCTGCAGGTGGGCACATCGGCCTTCGAATGTATAAAATCAGAGTATCGTGGGGTGGTCAGCAACATATAATGGCTAGATTCCTTTTCCTGGTACTCTGGCCAGCCCTGTAACGAACTGCCCTCCATTTGTCAAGAGAAGCTTTCAAATGGAATCTCTCTGGCACACATTTGCAGGGTGATTGGCCAGCGCTACAGGGTGCTATCTATGGCTGTAGAACAAAGCAAGGTGAACTAGCTGTCGTGAGAATTAAACCCCAAACCTTGACCTAATGAACACTGTGCTCTAAAGAACAAAGCTAGCTGGATAGCTCAATAGTGACAACGGTATAATCAATGAGGTAGGACCGTTTGTGGTTCTGAAATTAAAGCTCCTTAAGAAATCTAGTTTTCTTCCATTGTCCGGTTTGTATCCATTGCCATTGTTCTTAATAGTCATGACAGCTCCTCTTGTTTGGCTGTGTTTGGTAAAGGTAGTTTTCAAGCTTGTGGGTTTTGTTTAAAGCTTTGCTTTTGAGTGTTCAGGCTTTATAGCCCAGAGGGAGACATATTCTTGTACCTTTATATTTTATAGTACCTGATAATTTTTCTTTATTGAGTATTCCATGTTTTCATTTCGATAGTAAGCCATTCAAACATCTCTAGTATAGTTTTCCCATCACATCGTAGAAACATTATAATGATAGTTAAATCCAGAAGCCCCCAAAATGGACCCATAAGTCATATAGATCCAGAATTCAAGAAGTATACTCAAGAGGAAGTAAATGGACATTCCAAGGTTGACTTGGTTTTTCTTCCATCACAATATTCCCAGCAGCTATTACCAGTGCCCAGAGGATACCACTTGTGAAAAGCTCCTAGAAAATACTGCTGTACAGGAAAAGGTGTCCAGTGAGTTGCCCCTCCTGTCTTTTCCATTTTTTTCCCTTGGAAAGGAAGCAAAAACAACACCATATTCTTTTTTTTTCTAATTTTTTTAAGTTTATTTATTTTCAGAGAGACAGAGAGTACAAGCAGGGGAGGGGCAGAAAGAGAGGGAGACAGAGGATGCGAAGCAGGCTCTGTGCTGACAGCAGAGAGCACGACGTGGGGCTCGAACTCACGAACCACGAGATCATGACCTGAGGTGAATTCAGGCACTTGACCGATTGAACCACCCAGGCGCCCCAACAAGACTCTATTCAATGAGTGCATTGGACTGGTACACCAATTTCTGTATACTTGTCATTAGGAAGTGTGGGTCTCTTTCAGCACCAAAGTTTTTAGAGTGATCTACGATTGCACATTTCCATAGGGAAATGAAATGCTAAGGTGGTAAGTGTCACCCTAGCCTTCACTATTGTACTTCTGCCACCATCTGAGAAGTCAGAGCCATTAGACCGCTCTAGTATCAAATGCTAATGTAGAGGAAGAAAAATCAGGCCAAGGGTAGACAAAAGGGATTTGTGTTCTCAGAAGAATGAGCAGAAATCCTGGACAATGTGAGATACCGTGTGTTTAACAACCAGGTCTACTATGTGCACTGGTTTAGAAAAGAAAAAAGGGACGAGGTTCTGAGCTAAACATGAATGAGGGCACAGAAATATCCACACAATTCTTGTCACCTTAAGTGTATCGAATAGGCTCTTTCTTCAGCTGGGTTTTGAAAGTTGAAAGTCCTAGAACACCAGATTGAGTTTTAGTGACCACTTTTGGTTGTTTAACTCCATCTGTGCTGATAAACAAATAAGTAATAGCAATTAATGAAAGAAGCCAAGTGCTATTTTCATTCTGGGTCCAATGTTTAGTATAAAATTTGCACAGGAGTAATGGGAGTTATTTGCTTCTCAGTCACAGGTGCCAACTTGGAAAAACTTGTTCCCAGCTCTTGGTATATCCAAGCACAGAGAAATATGTAAGCGAAATTTGATTAAAAATTTGGCCCTCGAGGTCATTCCAAAGGTCCAAAGAAGACAAGTTTGATGGCATCAGTAAAGATTAATTCTGGGGAAACCATAATCTCTGTCATAAAATATCACTTTGCTGAGCCTGTTTCTGGAGTGCTTCCTCCTAGAGAGCCCGGCCTGAATAAGGATTACAGCAGTGGTTATGTGATATATGACTTAACACACCAAACAAGATTTTGTGTGTGTGTATATATAAGAAAAAGACCCCTTAATGGAGCCCACAGCACTGAAATGCTTGACATTCAGCAGTGTGATCTTTTCCAACTCCTTCTAAGCAATTTTTGGAACACTGTGGAAAAACCAAAATTGTTCTGATCACAGTCGTTCCTGGCAGGGAAAAAAAAGGAGAGCAGTCGTCAGGGTTGCTTGGATGTCTTGTCCCCATGCAGACTCAGTGCAAAATTCGAAACCCGTGGTCACACGGCCTCACAGATGCTTGCCTTGACATCCACAGATCCCTTTAAACTCTCTCCTTTGGTGTGTTTCCGAGAGAAGAAATCATCCTTGTCTACCTGTGACCACTGACAGGAGCCAATCTGCCTTTTTTTCTCTCAGGTGGTGCAAGAGGAGATCCCCATTCCTTCCAGCTTTGTGAGGCTGAGTTACCTGAGCAGCCGCACCCCCGGCTATAAAACCCTGCTTCGGATCCTTCTGACACATTCAACCATTCCCGTGGGAATGATAAAAGTCCATCTCACGGTAGCCGTGGAAGGGCGACTCACACAGAAGTGGTTTCCTGCCGCAGTTAATCTCATCTACACGTTTGCCTGGAACAAGACCGACATCTACGGACAGAAGGTTTGGGGCCTGGCAGAGGCTTTGGGTATGTTGAACTAATTCCGTATGAATAGCAGCATTGCGTTGCACGACACCGAAAATACTAGTTGCATATTAATTTACATGTGGAATAATTATGTATGGACAAATGACGACTGTCTTTTAGTTAAAGGATCTAAAGCATTTTTTTCAATCAAACCCTCTCTTTGGGCCTATTTAGAGTTCCCTTTTGACACATTTTTCCTTCAAAACTAGTTCAGTTCTCCTTTCCTGATGGCTTATGTACCCGTGGAATCACACACTATCTGACTTGTAACTGTCTCCAGAGCTGAATATTGCCTTCTAACTGTGACCTTTGGTGTGGCGTTCTTTAGGCCATGTTTTTGGATTTGACATTTAGACTGTCATTTCCACTTAGAAACTACAAAATTTTAACTTCTAGGCATCTCCACTTATTGTCTCTTATGTCTAAGATAGTTAGACTCCATTAACTTGTTACTTCAGTAGGTTACATTTTAAAAAAAAATCATCTTACCTTCCTAGTCCTTTTGATTTTCTATTTCAGGGCTTTAAAACCTAGAATTTTGTAGGGACGTTAAGAGGTCCTCTGAGCCTATGGTTTTCAGCTACTTAATTCTCGGACAAACGACATTTTCTTTTAATGCTTATTTATTTATGAGAAAGAGAGAGAGAGAGAGAGAGAGAGCATGAGCAGTGGAGGGGCAGAGAGAGAGAGGGAGACACAGAACGTGAATCAGGCTCTAGGCTCTGAACTGTCAGCACAGAGCCTGACACAGGGCTCAAACTCACGAACTGTGAGATCATGACCTGAGCCGAAGTCAGACGCTTAACCAACTGAGCCACCCAGGCACCCGTCGGACGAACAACATTTGAAAAAATTAGACTGAAACAGATTTGCCAACTTCTTATTTTGCCAAGTAAGAATATTTTTAAAAAGAAAGAAAAGGGGCACCTGGGTGGCGCAGTCGGTTAAGCGTCCGACTTCAGCCAGGTCACGATCTCGCGGTCCATGAGTTCAAGCCCCGCGTCGGGCTCTGGGCTGATGGCTCAGAGCCTGGAGCCTGTTTCCGATTCTGTGTCTCCCTCTCTCTCTGCCCCTCCCCCGTTCATGCTCTGTCTCTCTCTGTCCCAAAAATAAATAAACGTTGGGAAAAAAAATTAAAAAAAAAAAAAAGAAAGAAAAGAAGCCACTATAATCTACCTACCACTACCATAATTTCATAAAGGACAGGGATATCTTAACATCAAGAAAGGGAATATTCTATCTTTAAAAATGACAGCAGTCTAATACTGATGCTCGGGATGAGAGAGAGAGATAGACAGACAGCAATGTCTTTATTTTTCACTCTGAGGAAGACAGTGAAAACTTCCTAAAGGAACCTGACACAGGTCTGTGGAGTCACAGTCGGGAGCCATTGATTCTTGTGTCTTCAGGCAATAGCTCATGGAAACCACCCTTGGACAGATGAGAAGACTATTTGTAAAGTTCTCCAGAGGAGATCTTTTCATATCCTCCCTTGGAAGGGTCTATCATAGAACCACTCCCATACATCTTTTAGACGATATCAATTTCCTCCCTTTCTTTCCAGAGGAAAACTAATAGCGGGGGTGAGGGGAATCCTTGCCCAAGAGACCCTCATATACTTAAATAATTAACTCCCCTCTGTTGGACTGTATTAGAATGCAAGAAACATAGAGTGGTTCAGATTTCCTCAGCGGGCAGTTCCTGTAAAGATGTGGGAAAGTAAGAGAGAACAAGAAAAAGCACGAGCAAACTGCAGCCTTGCTGAAGATACATCGTAGTTCTAGAAAGCCAGCATCTGTTTTGTCAAACAGCTCCAGTTGTCCCTGTCTGTAGCAAGAGGCCACTGCCTCCCTCCTTGGTGACTCAGCTATACTGATGCCTGAGCTCATCACTTCTCCTGCCATATTAACTACCCTCCCTTTCTTTCAGCTCTTCAAACTCCACGTCTACTGACTTGCTCTGTATCTTGCATTCAGACTCCTCTTACAAACAATATCAGATTGTGTCGGCCAGTCACCATACAACAAACACCCTAAGCAGACCTCTACCGTTGGGCTAACTACCATCACGATTGCTGGCCAGCTAGGGAGTCCTGCTTAATTCTTATTTCAGTGAGTGTAGTGATTAAGAGAACAAGTCTGGAGCCGGACTCCTTCCCTGGGCTCAAGTCATCAGTTCTCTACTCACTAGCTATGAAACATTGGGGCCATTAGTTAAGCTCCAGGTGCCAGAGTTTCTCCATCTATCAAATGAGTATCATAAGGTGACTGCTACTCACAGGTTATAATAATATGAGGATTAAATGAGATAAGTAATGTAAAATGCTTCACACATGGTAAGCACTCAACAAATATTCTGCTCTGGTGTTGGCTTTTCAGTTCTGCTGTGGCCAGGGTATTGGGATGGCAAGGTACAAAGCACGGGGCCGACGCAGGTACTTGTTGTCTCGGCTTCTCTAAGTAGGGAACTGGGTATATAGCAGGCAAGCACTCAGTTACTCTCCAGTTTCCCTCCTTGCCACACACACGCACACCATCTCTTCCCTGCCCTTCTCTGTGCTATGAGAAGCTGGCTTCTATGGACCGCATTGCCTGGGCTCCTTTGCTCTCTAGCTTCCCATTTGGTCAATAGGCGGTACCATCTGGAGACCGCAGAATGGAAGAAGGAGGTGAGGGTATTTACCCTTCTCCCTGCCTCATTGCAATTCTGGCAGCAACTAGAAGATGGCAGCTCCGATCCAGTTGCCCTCCTCCACATCCCCAAGCCCTCTGCAGTTCCGTATCGCCATTCCCTCCCTTTGCCCCTGCAAACCCAGAAGCCTTCTCAGTGTTGTCAGTCCCTGAGTGGATCGGCATCCCTGATGGATTCCCTTAACCCAGCTCCTCGTTGTGCAGCTGTAAATAGTGCCTTCATCTGACTCTCTGCGCAAACACTTGAGTGTGATATGTGATTCCTGCTGGGACCTTGGCCAGTGCATACTTGAACCTCATGTTCTCTCGAGGATACTATCCTAAAGCCTTTGCTTCTCTAGAATAACCCAAAATTCCTCTAACTTTTCTCCATAGGGCTTTGTTTTCCCATTCCTTATTACCTTCCACAGAACCCCTGCTAGGTCATTGACTTTTTTGTTTGTTTTTACTTTCTTCTTAAGTTGTGATACCTAGCAATTTACCCAGTACACTCACTCATGAAGAGCTGACCAGGACGATATATAGCAGTCGTTTCTTGCCAGGGTTCACATAAATGCAGTTCAAGCTTACTTTTTAATTTTCTCTCTCTTTTTTTTAAAGTTTATTTATTTACTTTGAGAGAGTGAGAGCACATGCACGCATGAGTGGGGGAGGAGCAGACAGAGAATCCCAAGCAGTCTCTGCACTGTCAGCAATACGGGGCTCGAAGTCATGAACTGTGAGATCATGACCTGAGCCAAAATCAAGAGCTGGACACTTAACCGACTGTGCCACCCAGGCGCCCCTAAACTTACTCTTTTAAATAACAGTTTTATTAAGATGTAATTCGCGTACCACAAACTTCACCCATGTGAAGTGTACATTTGAATGACTTTTAGTATTTTCACAGTGTCGCACAACGATTACCAATATCTAATTCCAGAACATTTTCATCATCAGCCCCACAAAGTAGCACCCCACACAAACTAGCAGTCACTCTCCCCTCTAGGCCCTGGCAACTACCAATCTCCTTTCTGTCTGTGTATCTACCTGTTTTGAACATTTCAAACAAATGCAACCATACAATATGTAGTCTTTCACATCTGGCTTCTTTCTCTTGGCATAATGTTTCCAAAGCTCATTCACGTCCAAGCCTGTGAGTACTTCATTCTTTGCTACGACTGAATAATATTCCATTGCATGGCTACACCACATCTTGTGCTGCTACGCACATTCGGATATAAGTACTTGTTTGAATATCTGTTCTCATTTCTTTGGGGAATATACCTAGGGGTAAGACTGTTGAATCATACGGTAATTCCGTGTTTGACTTGTTGAGAAACCACCAAACTGTGTTCTACGGTATCTGCACCATTTGATCAACCTTACTTTATGCATAAAATGTGTTACTTCTCTTTCTTTTAAATACCTCCAGTGCTAAAGATTCTAAAATTTTCTCCCTTGTTGGAGTTAAGCAGTCTTAATGACTTAGCTTCTGATATGCCCGTGGATTATTGAATAAACAACTAAAACACAAAGAAAAGCAGAGACCTCCTAGTATACACAGCAGTGATGAAGATCCCATTCCTACCGTTTGCCGACAGGTGTTGGTTTACTTTCTATTTCTGCAATCCTGTTCCTGGTCAAAGCTTCCTGAAGCATTGTGACTATAATTAAAATGCTCAAATTAATTAAAATGCCTTAATTAAATGCTCAAATAGATGTTGTTGGTTCATTTTTAAGGCTAATAAAAGTAATAAAAGTGAGAGAAAATTGATCGACTCAGAAATATCCAAACAGAGAGGAAAAAAGTGTTCCTCGTGGTATTTTATGTGCACTTAAAGAGCATATTTTTTAGAAAGAAAACTGGCAAAGATCTCAAGAGAAATGGTCAAAATAATTTCAAGTGTAGGGCGTAAGATGGACTATGGATTATTGACCTTGTAGGAAATGCCCCTGATAATGGATAAAGGGATTTTATTTCCTACCTAGTATCCATTTCCACGTCCATGGAGACTAAGAGAATTTCCTGACAGTGGTAAAAACATTAGAGCAGGTGGTAGAATGAAGTTTGAGAAATTTGATTCTCTGCAGATAGATTGTGAGCACCTTAAGAACACAACAGACAATAAACAGTTCAGGTCATATATGAATGGAGACAGAGTGATCAAGTATGTGACCACTGAGCTCATACCTTAATAGAGATGATTGAATCCAAACAAACAACGAAGAAAACGTTTAGTTGTACTCCTGCCCAAATTTTATAATCGCTTAACTAACGTGAGAAGACATGGACTAAATTTTGCACCGGATACTAACAATGGCTAATAT